GTAGGGGTCCCCACCCCCTATGTAGAGTTATCACCTGTAAAAGAAGAGTTTTCCCCCAATGTATATACAGTCCCCCATTTAGGGAAAAGCCCTCACATGGGAAGTAAAATCCCACCAGGTATGTAAGTTTTCCCCACCATGTATGGGAGAATTCCCGAAAACCCTGTAAGGGGGAGACATCCCCTAATGTTTAAGGGAGAATCCCCCACCATTTTTTGTAGAGGGGTTTTAGCATGGGGGATTTTTGAGTCGTCACCATTTTTAAGGGAGGGGGTTTCCCTTTCCCTATTGTTGAGTCCTCACCCCAAAATATGTAAGAGGTTTTTAAACCCTGTTCCCCGTAGAGGAAACCGGGGGCCCTGTTTTAAAGAGTCCTTATCATGTATAAAGAGTCCCCCAAAATGTATTTTTTGGAAAAATTTTTTTTTTCCATCAAAGTATTGTAGAATCCCCACCATGTTTGTTTGAGTCGTTAAACCCTGTATGTAGAATTTTCCAATTTTGTATGTGGAGTCCCCACCCTTTTTTTGTAGAGTAGGCTGCGTTGTTTTGTTTGAGTCCTTTTCAATATATTAGTGTCCTTAAACAATTTGAAGGGTTCCGGGCCCCCCATTTTATGTAGGGGGCGTTTCCCTATGTTTTTGAGGCCTCACAATGATGTTTTGAGTCGTCAAATTTTGTATGTTTGTCCTCACCAGCAATTGTAAAAGTCCTTCACCCTGTTTAAGTAGAGTTCCCATTTAATGTTTTTTAAAAGTTTCCTTTTACCCCTGTATATACAGTTTCCCCACCATTTATGTAGATTTCCCCAAACCCTGTTAAAAAAGAGTCCAACCCCCCAAATTTTTTAGGGAACCTCACCCTGTATGTTTAAAAAAGTCCTCAAACCCTGTATTTTAGAGCCCTCACCCCTGTAATAGAATCCTCAAAACCCTGTAGGGAAAGGCCCTCAATGTTTTTGTAGAATCTTCACCATGATCTAGAAATCCTCACCATGTAAGTAGAGTCCCCATTCCCTTATGTAAAAAGTACTCACCATGTAAGTAGAGTCCCCCCAATTTTCCCCCCCCCATTTTTAGAAATTCCTCAAACCCTGTATGAAGAGTCCCCCACCATGTATATATAGTCCCCCACATGGGATGTGAAAACCTCACCATGTAAGGGAAAAGTCCCCAAAACAGTATGTAGACCTCAAACCCCTTTTTAATACAAGGGCCCCCTTAAACCCTTTATGTAGAGTCCCCCAACCCGTATATAGAGTCCAAAAAAATGTTGTAGAGCCCCCAAACCCTGGGATGTAAAAATTTCCCCACCAATTTTTATGTAAAAAAGTCCTCAAACCCCTTTTTATACAGTTTCCCCCACCATTTATGTAGAAACCTCACCCAAGTAAAATAGTGCCCAAAACCATGTTTTTTTGTAGAAACCCCCCACCATGGTTATGTTTAAAACCTCAAACCAAAAATTTTTTTTTTAATTAGGAAATCCCTGACCATTTAATAGAGTCCCCACCATGTAAAGTTTGAGCCCTCACCCCTGATGTAAAAATTCCCCAAACCAAAGTATGTTTAAGGGCCCTTTACCATTTATTTGAATCCCAACCATGTTATTTTAGAGTCCTCCCAGGGAAGTTTGATCCCCCAACCCTGTATGTAAACCTCAAAACAAATTTTTGTTTGAGGGACCACCATGTAAAGTAGATCCCTTTACCCCCTTAAAGTAGAGTCATTACCATGGGAAAGAAAAGACCTCACCATGGGATATACAGTCCCCCAAACCTTTTTTGTAGGGGCGCTTTACCCTGTAAAGAAATCCTTTACCATTTTAAAAATAGGGGTCCCACCATGTATGTAGAATCCTTTTACCAAAGTAAGTAGGCCTCACATTTTAAAATTTGAATCCCCCAAACCCTGTATGTTTGAGTTTTTTAGCATGTATTTTTAAATTTTTCACCTTAAGTAGAAATCCCTTTCCATATAGTTGGTCCCAAAAATATATGTAAAAAGTTTTCACCAAAAGTCTTAAGACCCCCGGCCCCTTTTAAAGCAAAAGTCCTTTAAAACCTTATTTATGTTATGAAAAGTCCCCACCCTGTATGTTTTGAGTCCCAAACATGTAATGTAAAAATCCCCCACCATGTATGTAGAGTCGTTACCATTTTATGGTTTTAAAAATTTTTCCCCATGTAAATTTGAGTTTCCTTTACCTTTATGTAGAGTTTTTCGCGTGTATGTAAGAGTCCTTTCAATAATGTAGGGGCCTTATCAAAGTTTTAGGGTTTGTCACCATGGGATTTTAGGGGCGTTACCGTATGTGTTGAGTCCTCAAAAATGTATTTTTAAGTCGTCATTTTGTATGTAGCCTCACCATGTATGGAGGTCTTTTACCAAAGTAAATAGAGTTTTTTCATCATGTATGTAAGTCCTCACCCCTGATATACAAATCCTCAAATTTTTGTAGAGTCCTCACCAAAGTATGGGAGAGTCATTTACCATGGGAAAGTTTGAGCCCCACCATGTATAGAAAACCCTTTCCATGTATGTTTGAGCCCCCACCATTATGTAGAATCTTCACCATGTTTTGTTAAAAGTTTCCCCCACCCTGTTTAAAAGAGTCCTTTAAACATGTATGTAGATACTTTACCAAAGTTTAAAAAGAGTCCCTCACTTTCCCCATGTAGAAAATCCTCACCATGTATGAAGAGTCCTTTAACCCCTGTAAAGTAGAGTCCCACCATTTATATAGAGTCCTCACCATGTAAAAAAAAAAAAATTTAAAAAAATCCCCCACCCTTGGGAACGTTTGAAATCCCTTTTACCATGTATGTAAAAACCTCAAAAATGTATGTAGACCCCCAACATTTTTAAGTAGAAAACCTCAAACCAAAGTATGTAAGTTTCCTCACCATTAGTTGAGTCGTCACCAAAGTTTAAAAAAGTCCTTTAAACCCTAAAAATTTTTAGTCGTCAAAAAATTTTGTTTGAGTCTTCAAAAAAATGGGGAGTCCCCGCCATGTTGCCCGAAATCCTTTATGTAAAGTTTGAGTCCTCACCATGTATGAAAAGTCGGGTTTCCATGGGAATTTAAAATTTTTTCCCCATGTATGTAGAGTCCTCACCTTTTAAAGTAGATAAATCAAACCCTGTATGTAGAGGGGCCTTTCAATATATGTGTGTCCTTATCATGTTTGTAGGGGCGGGTTTCAATGTATGTTTGGGTCGGGTTTCCCTATGTGGGTTTAGTCCCCACAATGTATTTGGTCGTCAAACATGTTGGGAAAAGTCCTCACCATGTGTGTTTTGAGTCCCTACCCTTTATTTAGATGTCCTCACAATGTAGGGGAGAGAATCGTCACCATGTTTTTTAGAGTCTTTACATTATTTGTATAGAAGGTCTTCACCATGTATTTTGTGTCCCCTTCACTATGTATGTAAAAGTCCTCACCATATATGTAGAGTCCTCAATCATGTAATTTGTAGAGTCATACACCACCCTGTATGTTAGAGTTCCTCACCATGTATGTAGAGTCATCACCATGTTTGTAAAGTCCATCAAACCATTTGTAGAGTCCCACCATAATATGAGGTCATCACCAAATATATGTAGAGTCCTCACCATGTATGTAGAGTCATCACCATGATGTATGTAGACGTCATCAACCCATGGTTATGTAGAAGTCATCACCTTTTATGTATGTAGAGTCCTCACTATTGTAGTGAGTCCTTTACACATGTATTTTAGAATCATCACGCATTATGTGAGTCCTCAACCCCAATGTATGTAGAGTTTACACGATGTATGTTGAGTCCTCATCGTGTATGTATAGTCCACACTATGTATGAAGAGTCCTGACCATGTATGTAAAGTCCTCATCATGTATGAAGAGTCCTCACTATGAATGTGACGTTCTCACCATGTATGTAGAGCCCTCACAATGTATGTAGAGTCCTCACAGTGTATGTAGAGTTTACACTATGTATGTAGAGTGCTCACCATGTATGTTGTGTCGTCACCATGTATGTAGAGTCCTCAACATGTATGTATAGTCCTCACTATGTATGTAGAGTCTGTATCATGTATGAAGAGTCCTTATCATGTATGTAGTGTCTTCATCATATATAGAGTTCTCGCAATTGATGTAGAGTCCACACCATTTTTTTCCATAGTTCGTTATTACGTTATGTAAGATCGTCCTGATCATGTAGGGTAGGTCTTTCATTAATGTAAAATGCTAGAGTCCTCATCATGTATGTGAAGTGTCTAACTATTTGTGAATAAATATATCTGATACTCCTTATAGACAAGCACTATTGCCTTTTCTGCAAGTTGGGTTTCGAATATTTTCTAGCGAAAATTTAATTTCTTTTGCTGGTATAACATATGCACCGAAACAATAGGAACCCCATCACATGAATATTACATGATAAAACATCTACCATACATGGTGAAGAACTTCATATACATGATTGAGGACTCTATAGTACATAGTGTGAAGAAACTCTACATACATAGTGAAGACTCTACATACATGATAAGGACTCCCGACATACCATAATAACGACTTATGGATAAAATGGTGAAAGACTCTACATCAATTGCGAAACTTCTAATACAAGGGGGAAACTCTATTTTACTGTGAGGGGGCTCTTTTTACATAGTGGGGGACCTTTTTACAACATGGTGAGGGGCCTTTTACAAAAAAAAGATGAGGACTCTGCATACATTGGCTTAGCGAGGCCAAAAGGAATTTTACGCCGTGGAGGAGGGTGAAGGGAGGGGGTGTCCCCCTCCCCGTTGTATGTTAGGGGGTTCGGGGGGGATTCCCCCGATAATTTTTTTATTTTTAAATGCAAAATAACACAATCTGGTGTAATTTCACAGCATATGTAATTTCCCATCACACCCTCATATCTTAATAAATTATATAATAACTCAAATGATTATTCTCTAAAGAGAAATGCATTGCAGCAAGGCGGCGCTGTTTTCTTGCAGCAAATTTATCAAACAGAGTTAATATTCATGTCTCTATAAATATTAAGTCCAGATAGTCTGTCAGTTGTCATGGTAGATCTGAGATACGTGTTTGAAGTCTCTTCATTGTGTTGATCAAATGACCGTTTCGCTATAGCCGTGGACAGTGGCATAATGAGCAAAACCAAACAATGACGGACAGTGGGATAGTACTGTTCATTTGCCAGTGGTTTTTGTGCCCACAAGTGTTTCACGTTCAACTCCAGTGTCCCATAGATCCACCATGTAACCCACTTCCTCACTGCATTGGTGAAGGTAGATCTAGCTTCGTCTTTACCACCTACACAACCATTATATCGTCTATGTATTTAGCTCCCTTCTGTTTGTTTGGTTTTGGTTTTATGGCGCACTTACACAATTAAGTTGATATGCCGCCAAAACAGGGAAGATGAACAAACCTATAGCAATACAAGGGATCAAAATCATCTCACCTGCTGGAGCTGAGAGATACATAGACTCCAGAAATTCAAAACCATTGAGTCGCCTCATACGATCATACAGGGATAAAAGGCGGCTGCTTGCATAATTTAACCCATAAAGACAACAATGTTCTGTCGTCACAAGTGTGATTAAAAATTCAAACGTCGAAACATATAGGTAGTATAGGCAGCAGCTTTCGTGGCCCCTTCATTTGCCTGGAACTCCTATGCACTTATTATACAATGTTGTTTAAAAATCAGAATGATATATAAATACATATATTACATCGCTTCAGCTTGAAATGAACCATGTCTATAAATAGTGCAAACGTTTTAAACTTTCTCTTTAATCTCATCATAATTATTAATTAAGTTAAATAATGTTCGATATGATTGATGGAAACAACAACACACATTTGAATATGATTGAAAGACAAACAACATATTTTACGCAAAGACACTTAGTGTGTGGAGCTCAAAACGCCTTTAAAATCCAAATGAAGTGTATATTTGTCAGTCCCAGCAATGTACCGATCATATCAAAAAACTAAATATAGGCCGTCTCGAAAATAAATATATGTATTTCAACGTCTATAATAATACACAAGATAAAAATGTCGGACGTAAAAAAATCCGCACACCTACCGTCAAAATCACCATGTATTTTATTTCATTTCCAATATTTTCAAACAATCCTTTTGTCCAGCGACACAGAAGATAAACCTTTCACGAAGATGGCCAATTTTAATCGTCAACACCAATATAAACAACACAGCAGGCGAAATAAACATCAAGATTATCGCCGTTTTACTCTATTTACAAAAGCTCCCCGGTTTTCATCTTCAAAGCGCGGCGTATTTGAATACGTTTGCACTGGGAGCTAACTTTGATTTGCGTTTTATGTATTGATGTTATAGTTTAAAATTGACTATCATCGAGGAGAATAATATCTTCCGTGTCTATGGACAAAAGGATAATTATAGGCATCGGCCCAATCTCATTTTAACAGAGTACTTTTTTGCTTATCTTTTAAAATGGTGCTGTTGAATATGTTACTTGAATTTTCCCGCTTTTAAACTTCTGATGTAAAACACATTCTTAACTTACATGCAGCCAAAAATATCGATACAAATTTCAAATCGCCTTGTCAGGATATAATTCTTTGTTTGTCAGCAAAATCCGATTTTCATTTTTTTTTATTTTATGAGTCAAAATTCTCGGCGATGCCTAACCAGGGTTAGTGTACTGATTTTGACATCTATTTTAAACTTTTAAGACTTTTTATTTTTATAACTCGTTTTCGTTTAGAACACCTACGGCGAACTGGCGTATGCCCGGCTACGCTACTGGAATACATGGTGAGGACTCTACATACATGGTGAGGACTCTGCATACATGGTGAGGACTCTACATACATGACGAGGACTCTACATACATGATTTGGACTCTTCATACATGGTGAGGACTGTACATACATGGTGAGGACTCTGCATACATGGTGAAGACTCTACATACATGGTGAGGACTCTTCATACATGGTGAGGACTCTACATACATGGTGAGGACTCTACATACATGGTGAGGACTCTACATACATGGTGAGGACTCTACATACATGGTGAGGACTCTACATACATGGTGAAGACTCTACATACATGGTGAGGACTCTACATACATGGTGAGGACTCTACATTCATGGTGTGGACTCTACATACATGGTGAGGACTCTACATACATGGTGAGGAATCTACATACATGGTGACGACTCTTCATACATGGTGATGACAATACATACATGGTAAGGACTCTACATACATTGTGAAGACTCTACATACATGGTGAGGACTCTACATACATGGTGAAGACTCTACATACATGGTGAATAATATACATACATGGTGAGGAATCGTCATACATGGCGAGGACTCTACATACATGGTGAAGACTCTACATACATGATGACTACTCTACATACTTGGTGAAGACGCTCCATACATGGTGAGACCACTAAATACATGGTCAGTACTCTTCATACATGGTGAAGACTCTAAATACATTGTGAAGACGCTACATACATATGAAAAAACTAAATACTTGTTTTTGGGGCTTTTAAAACATTTTTTTAAAGAATCTACTTCATGATTTTGGGGTTTTTAACATACAAGTGGAAGATTTTACAACAGGTTAGGACTTACATACATGGTGAGGCCTTCATACATTTGGGGAGCTTTTAATTTTCTTGCTGAAGACGCTACATACATGGTGAGACCACTACATACATGGTCAGGACTCTTCATACATGGTGAGGACTTTGCATACATAATGAAGTCTCAACATAAATGGTGAAGACTCTAAATACATGGAGATGACCCTACATACATGGTGAGAACTCTACATACATGATGAGGACTCTACATACATGGTGATGACTCGTCATACATGGTGAGGACTCTACATACATTGTGGTGACTCTATATACATGGTGAGGACTCTACATACATGGTGAGGACTCTACATACATGGTGAGGACTCTACATACATGGTGAGGGCTCTACATACATGGTGAGGACTCTACATACATGTTGAGGACTCTACATACATGGTGAAGACTCTACATACATGGTGAGGAATCGTCATACATGTTGAGGACTCTACAGACAAAGTGAAGACTATACATAAATGGTGATGACTCTACAAACATGGTCACGACTCTACATACTTGGTGAAGACTCTACGTACATGATGAGGACTCTACATACATAGTGAATACTCTACATACATGGTGATGACTCTACTTACATGGTGAGACCTCTATATACATGGTCAGGACTCTTCATATATGGTGAGGGCTCTCTATATATAGTAAAGGCTCTACATACATTATGAGGACTCAACATACATGGTGAAGACTCTACATACATGGTAAACACTCTACATATATGGTTTGGATTCTAAATACATGTTGAAGACTCTACATACATGATGAGGATTCTTCATACATAGTGAAGATTTTACATACATGGTGATGACTCTATATACATGGCCAGGACTCTTCATACATGGTGAGGACTCTACATACATGTTGAGAACTCTTCATTCATGGTGACGACTCTACATACATTTTGAAGACTCTACATACATGATGAGGACTCTACATATATGGTGGGAAATTACATACATGATGAAGACTCAACATACATAGTGAAGACTCTTCATACCTGATGAGGACTCAACATATATAGTGAGGACTCTACATACATGATGAGGACTCTACAAACATGATAGGGACTTTACATATATTATGAGGACTGCACATTAATGGTCAAGACTCTACATACATGATGAGGACTCTACATACATGGTGAATAGTCTACATACATGGTGAGGGCTCTTCATACATGGTGAGCACTCTAAAAACATGATGAGGACTCTACATATATTATGAGGACTCAACATACATGGTGAGGACTCTACATACATTGTGAGGACTCTACATACATGGTGAGGACTCTACATACATGGTGAGGACTCAACATACATGGTACGGACTCTTCATACATGGTGAGGACTCTACATACATGGTGAGGACTCTACATACATGGTGAGGACTCTACATATATGGTGAAGACTTAACATACATGGTGAGGACTCTTCATTCATGGTGACGACTCCATATACATAGTGAAGACTCTACATACATGGTAAGGACTCTACATACATGGTGAGGACTCTACATACATGTTGTGGACTGTAATACATGGTAAGGACTCTACAAACATGGTGAGGACTCTACATACATGGTGAAGACTCTACATATATGGTGAGGACTCTACATACATGGTGAGGACTCTATATTCATGGTGTGGACTCTACATACATGGTGATTACTCTACATACATGGTGAGAAATCTACATACATGGTGACGACTCTACATACATAGTGAGGACTCTTCATACATGGTGATGACTATACATACATGGTAAGGACTCTACATACATGGTGAGGACTCTACATGCATGGTGAGGACTCTAAATACATGGTGAAGACTCTACATACATGGTGAGGAATCGTCATTCATGGCGAGGACTCTACATACATAGTGAAATACTCTACATACTTGGTGAAGACGCTACATACATGTTGAGACCACTCAATACATGGTCAGTACTCTTCATACATGGTGAAGACTGTAAATACATTGTGAAGACGCTACATACATAGTGAAGACACTAAATACATTGTGAGGACGCTACATACATGTTAAAGAACTCTACTTACATGATGAGGACTCTACATACATAGTGAAGACTCTACATACATGGTGAGGACTCTACATACATGGTGAGGACCCTTCATACATGGCAACGACTCTACATACTTGCTGAAGACGCTACATACATGGTGAGACCACTACATAATGGTCAGGACTTTTCATACATGGTGAGGACTTTACATACATAATGAAGTCTCAACATAAATGGTGAAGGCTCTAAATACATTGAGAAAACCCTACATACATGGTGAGAACTCTACATACATGATGAGGACTCTTCATACATGGTGATAACTCTTCATACATGTTGAGGACTCTACATACATGGTGAAGACTCTACATACATGGTGAGGGCTCTTCATACATGGTGAGCACTCTACATACATGGCGAGGGACTCTACATACCATTGTGATGACTCTACATACATGGTGAGGGCTCTACATACCATGATGAGGACTCTACATACATGGTGAAGACTCTACATACATGGTGAGGGCTCTTCATACATGGCGAGGACTGTACATACATTGTGATGACTCTACATACATGGTGATAATCTTCATACATGTTGAGGGACTCTACATAC